GCAAGCTACTACGTGGCATGCGGCTACCCAACCACCAATGGCCCGCAGCAATGGACCACGTTGTCATGCTACACAACTTGCTCTCGTCATCATCGCTACCGAACAACGCATCACCGCACCTGCTGTGGACAGGAAAACAGGGCAGCACAAAAATGTTAAGAGTTTTCGGCTGCATGGTACAGTACCGGCCCCCACCTGCACGAGCCGGCCGATTCTCCCAACGCGCACAGTGGGGACTACACCTGGGCATCGAAAAGAATTACAACGCGTGGAAGATTTTCGACGTCCACTCAAAGGAAACAGTAGCAGCACGTGATGTCATTTTCTTCGAGCGACTCACACTTCCGACATACCTTGCCAACCTGGAAGAAGGCCGGGACCCCACAGATGGTTTTCATGGTGACCGAGCCTTCGCCTTGGCCGTAGACGAAGCTGACTGGGACGAGCAGAACGTGGATGAAGCCTCGGAGGAAGCCGGACCTCTCCCTTAATGCTCTGTCGACGTTCCAATGGATGACGAAAATCCTCGCGAAAGCGTCAACGCCGAAGCATTTTACCACTTCGCCGACAACGGTTACGTTACACCTGCAAGAGTCAACACCAACGAAGCAGAATGCATAGGGCCCAATTTCATACCTGACCCAGAAGCAGGAGACGAAGCAGCTTATCCTGAGGATACAACACTTCCCCGCTACACACAGAGTGGCCTCCAGGTACTCGGCCTCGTCACCGCGGTCCACGGCACGGTGATTCCTAAGGAGCCTGCCACAGTTCAGCATGCTCTGGGGGGGGAGCATAGGGAAAAATGGCGCGAAGCCATGGACAAGGAGCTGAAACCACTGGAAAAACGAAACACTTGGAAGGTCGTTCCCATCAGCGTGGCACGCAACAAAACGGTACTCACCGGAAAATGGGTTTTCCGTGTGAAGACAAAGGCAGGCGGCACCATCGACAAGTTTAAGGCGCGCTGGGTCATGCGCGGTTTTGACCAAGAGCACGGACGCGATTTCACCGAGACGTTCCCCCCGGTCAGCCAACACACCTCGCTTTGAATCCTCCTTGCGATCGCCGCCATGAAGAAGAAGAAGCTGCGGCAAATTGACATCGCCAATGCATTCCTCTATGCACCTGTTGACGCCGAAATCTTTGTCGAACTTCCACACGGCTCCAACGGAGAGCCCAACCAAGTCTGTCAGCTGTTGAAGTCCCTGTACGGTATCAAATAGGCTCCAAGACTGTGGCAACAGTACCTACACGCTAGGCTTATCCACATCGGATTCCACCAACTACCTCACGACCAGGGCATGTACCGGCTCACTTAAGGCGACCACTACATTCTGCTCATCGTCTACGTGGACGACCTGCTCTACATCGGCTCGACCGACGACATCACTACTTGGTTCGAAGGGGAGCTGCAGCAAGATCTCACGCTCACGGTCTCGTCTACCGTCACGCAGTATCTCGGCCTCAATATTCAAGAAGAAGAAGATGCGATCTACCTCAGCGTCGCGAAATATACCGACACTATCGCCAAATTCTTCGGACTCACCCCAACTTCCATCTCCACACCATATTGTCAGAAACACTAGCAGTAGGGCCTAGGCTAAGTAGCCTAGGCCACACGAAGACTAGGAGGTTGTGCCCTAGGGCTAGCAAGGATGTGAACGGAAGAGGAAGAAATGAGAAGGAATGACTGCAATAGCAAGCAGGTTGGTACAAATAGGAAATCCTAAAGGGTTGTACTCACTATTGAGTACCCCACTGCAGGCTAGACAAATAACATATTCTGACACACCCCCATAGTCAAGGTGGGGTATAATCAGCACAGCAAGAAGTCATAGAATAAGTCACAAGCACAAGCAAAGCTAGAGGCTATCACAGAGGGCAAGTGAGGAGGGAGTGTGAGGGGAGAGAAGATTGGAGACGACGATAGAAGCTGTAGACACACGTGCAACAGGAGCGCGCACACAATGGCTACCGGGACAGAGCCCTGGACTACTAGAGTAACTGGCTCGGCGGCTACGAGGAGCGGCAAGAGCAACGGACCCACGGGCGACAGGCACAGCAGGCTCTCTGGGCTACCGAGAGCACGACGGCTCCGGACTACTGGCGCTGCAGGTGACACAAGGGCAGCCTCCGCTCAACCTCCCCTAACTGTCCCACACCCCTCTCACACACCCACTGCCGCACCCCTAGCTCCACTACCACAGCACCCCCCTAGCGCCACTCCCCTCGGCTCCCACACATCCACCCCCCTCAGCGGCAGCTGCAGCAGTGGGAGACAGAGGAGGAGAAGGAAGGGACGACGCACATGTATCACCCTTACGCCCGCCACCCCCATACCCCGAGTGTGCGGTAAGCGAGCTCAGGTGTGCGCGAAGCGTGCACATGCGTGCGGGAAGCAAACTCGGGTGTGCGGAAAGCGAACTCAGGTGTGCGGGGAGGGGGGGGGCGAGCAGGACAGAGCGCGCAAGGGCGCGGGTAGAGCAGAGCGCACGAGAGGGCGGGCAGCAGCAGAGCGCACGAGGGCGCGGGCAGAGCAGAGCGCACGAGGGCGCAGGTGAGACAGAGTGCACGAGGGCGCGGGCAGAGCAGAGCGCACGAGGGCGCAGATTGAGACAGGGTGGCTGCTCCAGGGGCCAGGGGCGGCTGCTGCAGTGGCAGCTGCTCCAGGGGCCACGGGCGGCTGCTGCAGGGGCGGCTTCTCCAAGGGCTAGGGGCGGGTGCTGCAGGGGCGGCTGCTCCAGGGGCTAGGGGCGGCTGCTGCAGGGGCGGCTGCTCCAGGGGCCAGGGGCGGCTGCTGCAAGGGCGGCTGCTCCAGGGGCCAGGGGCGGCTGCTGCAGTGGCGGCTGCACCAGGGGCGGCTATTGCACGAGCAGGGACGGCGCTCAGGGGCGCCGCGACGAGCAGGGGCGACGCCCCAAGGGCGCCGCGACGAGCAGGGGCGACGCCCCAGGGGAGCCGCGACGAGCAGGGGCGGCGTCCAGGGGGCGCCGCGACGAGCAGGGGCGACGCCGCGCCGGTTCCGCAGGGGCGTCGCGACGAGCAGGGACGGCGCCCAGGGGCGCCGCGATGAGCACGGGCGAAGCCGCGCGGGTCCCGCAGGGGCGTCGCGACGAGCAGGGCGACGCCGCGCGGGTCCCGCAGGGGCGTCGCGAAGAGCAGGGACGGCGCCCAGGGGCGTCGCGACGAGCAATGGGCGACGCCCCAGGGGCGCCGCGTCGAGCAGGAGCGGCGCCTCGCAGGGCGCCACGACGGGCAGTGAAACCGCCACGCGCCCCGAGCACGCGGCGAGCAGAAAAAGCCGCCACGCGCTCCGAGCGCGTGGCGGAAAGAAAATAACACGTCGCGCACCACGGGGCGCGCGACACACAGAACGATAGCGGAAGCAGTTGGTGGGCCCGTTAAGGGAAGCGGCAGGAACGTGCTCGCTCTAGATACCATGTCAGAAACACTAGTAGTAGGGCCATGCTAAGTAGCCTAGGCCACACGAAGACTAGGAGGTTGTGCCCTAGGGCTAGCAAGGATGTGAACGGAACAGGAAGAAATGAGAAGGAATGATTGCACTAGCAAGCAGGTTGGTACACATAGGAAACCTTAAAGGACTGTACTCACTAATGAGTACCCGACTGCAGGCTAGACAAATAACATATTCTGACACACATCGCTACACTACCGGAAATCCCAAGGAAGGCTCGGCTCTACTCAAACCCGCTGGCATATGCGACTACCAACGAAAGTTAGGATGTCTGCTCATCGCAGCCGTCACCTGCCGTCCAGATCTATCGTACTCTGCGAGTCAACTCGCCACCTATCTCGAAAGGCCTGAAGCAGAACACATGGCGGAGCTCGACCGCGCTCTTCACTACCTCGTTAGCACTCCGACGATCAGCCTGACCTATCACAAGAACGGAACCTCGACACCTAAGTTAATCGGCTACGTCGACGCAGATCACGCGGCGACTCTGACAACAGGCGCTCGCGCACCGGCTATATCTACCGACTCGAACCTATCGGGCCCATCTTATGGCAGTCGAGCAAGCAGGAACTAATTGCTCTCTCCTCGGCTGAACCAGAATATATTGCACTCTGCTCAGCCACCAAGGAAGGACTTTACCTTCGCGAACTGCTCGAAGAGGCGAAACTGGCCCAGTTACCAAGCTTTCTGTTCTACGACAACCAGTCTACAATTCGCATTGCCTACACAAACGGATTCGCGAACAGGACGAATCACATCGCCCTGCGATATTTCTTCGTGAAGGACAGGATCGAGAAGGGGAGACTCGAACTGTCCTACTGCCCCACGTCTGAGATGGCAGCTGATTACTTGACCAAGAAACTCGGAAAGCAGAAGTTCGAACACTGCATGCTGCTGACTGGACAAGGCCACATCACTAGCAACGACACTCCAGAAGCGAAGGGGAGTGTTGGAAACAAGTAATTTAAGCGCCTCTGTCGTGTTGAAGCACTAAGTCGTAAACGAAGCGAAGTACAGTGAAGCATCGGCGAGTCAACCCTCGGAGGTTGAACAACAGCTGGAGGCTACGCGAAAGTCAAAGGTCGCTGATCTTTGACCTGACAAGTACAGCGCGACAGCAAGGACAAACAACTGACTCGTTATTGAGCAGTTGCCCGAGTCGTCACTGTATCGAACCGCAACAGCAACAGTAAAACAGTTATTGGCTATAACATTTCATATTCCTTGTACTCTTATAAAAGACTTGTATCTTCTTGCTTTAGTCAATCTACTTTGCCCTCACATACCAGCGCAAGGTGGTTCACAGACTCATTATTACACTTCTGCATTTACAACAAGTCCTACCCAAAGTTTAGCCTTGCAAAGATCCTAAGGGCTTTTCTCAGCCCAACAATTTGATCCGCATTTTGACACCTTAGTGCAATTCCCGCTACTTCGATCCATTGCACCCGTAACACCAAGTCTCATCTGTTGCAACAAGCTGCACAGAGGAATGAATTATACACAAAAAGATGTCATATATTCATGCATCTTCCTTGGTACTACCAGCAGCTATATCATCCTCATCCGCATCCCTGCCTTCCCCAGCCGAATCCCTATCACGAAGCAAACCATCACTCTCCGAAGGCATCACATCAATGTTAACAGCTTCCTTGTCGCGCTGCACGTCCTCCCTCCCCGAAACATCTCCCGTCGCTGCTTCTTTTACCGAGGCATCTCTTAGTGAAGCCTCTCGCTGCGAGCCATCTCTGGCGAGAGCAGAGCGCAGGGAGGCCTCGGAAGATCGGCCGGTGTTGGAGATCATGCGAGAGAAAGAGCCCACTCGGTCTGCTGCCAGCTGCTGCGGTGACCCAAACTGCACCACCCGGCCCTGCTCCAGCACCAACACCTGGGGAATTGCCACAAGGACAGAGAAATAAAGAGCAGCAACATCGGACCAGGCGTGTATGGATGATTTCAGTCGCATGTACCGCCATGCGTGGATGTTCCTAGGGTGTGCCTGCCCCTGCAGATACCCCATCAACAGGCAACATGGTACCCAATGCGGGTAACTGCTGTATACGAAATAGAGAGAGACCCCACCTTATCCGCAAGCAAGAAAAATACTCCTACCTTGTCGGCATCAATGATGGTGTGCAGGCGGTGAGCGATGGTGATGACGGTGCTGGCAGCAAACTCTCACCAGCGTGTTTCCCACTTTTCCGCATGCAAGGTAGACAACTCTCCCTCCTCCCCCTCTCTCCCCCCTTCCCCAACCCCCACCTTGTCGGCGTTGATGATGGTGTGCAGGCGGTGAGCGATTGTGATGACGGTGCTGGCAGCGAGCTGTCACCAGCTGCACCCGTAACACACCAGAAAGAAGCTCCGACCTTATAACAAGCAAGAAGTGTCACGACATTCTTGCCCACCTTGTCAGCATCGATGATGGTGTGCAGGCGGTGAGCGATGGTGATGACAGTGCTGGCAGCGAACTGGCGGCGGATGGTGGTCTGGATGAGCGCGTCTGTGGCCATGTCCACGTTCGCTGTCGCCTCGTCCATGAGAAGAATGCGACTGCGGTGCAGCACGGCACTGCATGGTGAAAGGGGGGAAGGGGGAGGAAGGGGGGAGGGGGATGAGGGAGTGGGGAGGGGGAGAAGGGAGTGGGGGGAGAAGGAGGGAAGGAGGGGAACGGGAAGTAGTTTCTTTCTGTTTTCACCAAGCACATCTGGAAAGCCTGCATAGCAGAGCACACAGGGACAGTCAGACCAAGAGGGAAGGAGCAAGGAGGAGGAGGGATGGTGGTCTGGATGAGCGCGTCTGTGGCCATGTCCACATTGGCTGTCGCCTCGTCCATCAGCAGAATGCGACTGCGATGCAGCACGGCACGGCAGGGTGGGGAGGGGACAGGGAAGATGGGAGTGTGAGGGAGCAGGGAAGGAGGCAAGGGGAGGGAACGCTTCAGAAGACACATCTGGTATGCTTGCAGAGCGCACAGGGCGATTCGGACCTCCGAAAATGGGCAACAAAGAGAGAGAGACGAGGGGTACGAACGAGCAAGGAGGAGGGGAGGGTGGACGGGTGGCAGATCCATGCGCAGGCGCACACATACTTACAGAGAAAGCAACCACTCACCGTGCGAGGCACACGAGCTGCCGCTGTCCCACGGAGAAGTTCTCCTCAAACTCGCTCATGCTCGCCTCCAGCCCTCTCTGTTTTTGAGACGTCTCAAAAACAATCTCTGCAGCCCGCCCACACCGCATATCCGATATCCATCTATGCACGTCACAACAGCAATCAACACCCGCTCACCGTGCGAGGCACACGAGCTGCCGCTGTCCCACGGAAAAATTCTCCCCGAACTCGCTCATGCTCGCCTCCAGCCCTCTCTGCAGCCCGCCCGCCTTGCCCCTCAGTTGCACTGCGTCTAATGCCTCCCATAGGGCCGCATCCGGGTGCTGACTGGGAGGGGTCAGGGGATTGGATATAGGCAGACACTTGACTGTGTGTAAGAAGTGAATACAAGGAGTCACATCACAGCCCTCTCTGCAGCCCACCTGGCTTGCCCCTGCATGGCGCCTAATAACCCTAAACTCAGGGGCTCAGCAGATGGTTGACAGACTGAAGGTGAATGTTACAGTAACCCCGCGCCCTCAATTAAAATCCCTGGTTTGAGCACGGATGAAGATCGAACGACTTGAAACCATTCTAAGAAAAATCCCGCAACAGCAAAGATTAGGACGCACTTGAACGGGTCGAGGTTGAATCGGAGAGAGCTGCCAAAGAGCACAGGATCTTGAGGGATTGCCATAACCTGTGTGATGTGCAGATAGGGAGGGAGGGATGGAATGGAGAAGGGGACAGGAACGGGAAGGGGGAAGAACGAAGGAAGGAGAGACTGGAAACACTGATGATGATGGGAGCAGCAACCACAACAAACGAATAAGCAAAGAGAAAGGAAACAAGGGACCCTGGCGGTTCAAGTACCAAAGACAGGGAATCGAGAGAGACAAAAAGTTGCAGAGCAAATACGAGTCCGCACAACACGCACGTTTCTGCGGAGGCGAGTGAGGGAGATGGTGGCAGTGTCAACACCGTCGATGAGGATACAGCCACCGGATGGCTGCACGAGTCGGAAGAGCGCCAACATGAGCGTTGACTTGCCAGCACCTGACAAGAGGGCATGTGGGAGAGAGAGAAATGTGGTCTATGAGGATACAGCCACCGGATGGCTGTACCAGACAGAAGAGTGCAGGCCAGCATGAGCGTTGACTTGCCCGCGCCTGGTAGTGCGACGGGGATGGAGTGGAGGTGGGTCAGTGGGAGCGTGTGGGGATGACGGGGTACGAAAGGAAGAGGATAGGGGGTAACGGCATGAGACCGTGAGAACCGGAGACCGCTCATGGAACGAGTCATGCATTCCATTGCAGTGACTGCAACGTGCCAATCACCACCATCGCAACATTCGTCCCTAGTAGCAACCACTGGCAGGCAGGCAGGCAGGTAGGCAGACAGGCAGGCAAGCAAGCACAGCAGCACTCACCGGTTCGCCCCACCACACCGCACTTTTCCCCTCCCTGCAGCTGGAAGCTCACGTCCTGTAAGACAGGGTCCAGAGTGGGCCTATACCGAACCGTCAACCCCTCAACCCTCACTGCTCCTTCGTTCGGCCAGCCAGGCGGCACCTCCCCCTGCTCCTCCTCCTCTCCTCCTCTCCCTCGCTCGCCCTTCCCCTCCCTCTGCTTCTGCTCCTCGTTCTTCCCACAGAGCCCCCCTTTGAGCCGCCTCTTCCTGCTGTTGCCTCCCTTCCCGCCACCTCCATGCCCCTCTTCTTGACCCCCCACCTCCAACCCCTCTTCCTGTGGCAAGTGTGTGTACTCCAATGCTCGCTCAACACCCGTGAACTGCGGAGAGAGAGAGAGAGAGAGAAAGTGAGGGCAAGTGAGGGAAGGTAGGGTTTGTTAGACACTCAGTATGGGAGGTGGTGGCACGGGTAAGTGTGTGTACTCCAATGCTCGCTCAACACCCGTGAACTGCAGAGAGAGGGAAAGACAGGGCAAGGGAGCGATGAGCTTTTTGAGAGAGTAGAAACGGCGGGGTGTGCCCGGGCTTGTGGCAAGTATCGGAGTGAACAAGAAACGCCTGACGCCTGTGAATGATGCAGCCAAGGTGAAGGACTGGCACAGAGAACAGAACCACTATTCTCACCTCACCATGTTCTCGACCTCTGCTCCTTGCCTAGCTGTGCAGTGCACTGCAGCATGCCCAACATTGGCTGCAGCGTGTAACTCAGAAGAGCCAACACCAGCAGGCCGTGCGGCGAAGGGACACAACGCAACCCAGTGAAGGAGATGAAACGGCACAGAGCAGAGCAGGAATCATTCTGTCTCACCATGTTCTCGACCTCTGCTCCTTGCCGCACGGCCCACTGCCGCATGCCAGACATCAGCAGCGTGTAGCTCAACGCCAGAACCATCAGGCCAGGCGGGAGGGTCGCAACGCAATGAAGGGGACGAGAAAAAAATCACTCTGTCTCACCATGTTCTCGACCTCTGCTCCTTGTCTGACGGCCCACGCAGCATGCCAGACATCTGGAGGGTGACTTTTGAGTCGACTCAAATGCCAGACATCTGCAGGATGTAGCTCAGCGCCAGAGCCACGAGCCCGGGTGGGAGGGTGGGCCTGAGCGCGATGGCGAGCGTGGCGACGAGAAACACGACGGCGGAGACGATTGTGTCGAGGCGGAAGGTCAGCCAGCCAGCGCGAGGCGAGGTGGCAACTCACCATGTTCTTGAATTTCGTAACATGACGCAGGGAAGGTGAAGGGGAAGGACCGGCGGCAGAGAGAAAAGAGCAGCCCTGACTCACCATGTTTTCCACCTCCGCTCCTTGCCGCACAGCCCACTGCAGCATGCCAGACATCTGCAGGGTGTAGCTCAACGCCAGGGCCACGAGCCCGGGGGGCAGGGTGGTCCTGAGTGCGACAGCGAGCGTGGCGACGAGAAACACGACGGCGGAGACGATTGTGTCGAGGCGGAAGGCCAGCCAGCGGGAGGCGGCTAGCCAGCAGTAGAAGGCGCGGCCGTTGGCGTTGAGGAGGCGGTGGAATATGGTGGCGGACTGCTGCTGCGCTCCGAACGCCCTGATGGTTGTCAGACCCTGCAGGTGGGGTGGAGGAGGAAGCAGACAGTATGAAGGTCCAGATGGTGTTGGGGAGATGGTGGAATATGGTGGCGGACTGCTGCTGCGCTCCAAACGCCTGGATCATTGTCAGGCCCTGTACGTGGGAGGGAGGAATGGGGTTTGCAGAGGAAACAGCACTGGAGGGGCGAGAGGAGGCAGGACGAGAGGAAGGAGGTCGATGGCGTTGAAAAGGCGGTGGAAGATGGTCCGTGGGCTTGGGAATGTTGGTTAAGAACCGGGGACTGGGGACTGGGGACACACCTGGATGGTGGCGGCGTAGTGTGCATACACAGGGCTGCGCGTGACTGCTTCCAGGCGCTTGGCCTCGCGGGAGGTGCAGAGGAAGACGTAGCGCAGGCGCAGGAAGAGCAGGAAGAGCAGAGCCATGGGGATGAGGATCCACGGCACTCCCAGCGCCACCATCACTATGGCCCCCACTGCCAGGCTGAGCGTCTGAGGAAAGGAGGAGTTGAGAAGGACGAATGGGGGGGGAGGGGGAGAATGGGTGGCGGGTGGAAAAAACGAAAAGGGAGAACGCAGGGCACGCCAAGCACCACTGTCAATGGATCAGGAAGACGTAGCGCAGGCGCAGGAAGAGCAGGAAGAGCAGGAAGAGCAGAGCTATGGGGATGAGGATCCACGGCATCACCAGGGCCAGCATCAATATGGCCCCCACTGCCAGGCTGAGCGTCTGGGGAGCGGAAGGGGGAGGGGAGGGGAGGGGGTGGGGTGGTATTGATGGGTTGGTAACGGTATAGAGAGGATCCAGGCCACACCCAACGCCAGCATCACTATGGCCCCCACTGCCAGGCTGAGCGTCTGGGAGGGGAAAGGGGACGAGCGAGGAGAGAGAGGGATGGGGGAAAGAGAGAGCGAGGGGCACGAGGGGCAGTTGATAATACTGACAGGTGATGAGGGAATAGGGAGGATGCACAACATACCCACCACCCCAACAACCACAAATTACCCCACACACCTGCAGGTAATTGGAAAGAGTGAATGGCAGCAGGTCGTCTAAAATCCCCTGATTGGCTGAAAATCGGTTGAGGATGCGGCCAATGGGGTTGGTGTGGAAGAAGGCGAGCGGCGAGCCGAGCACGCAGTCCCCCACCACCCCCACAGCATTCCACCAAACCACTGTGACTCACACACACACCTGCAGGTAGTTGAAGAGCGTGAAGGGCAGCAGATCGTCTAAAATCCCCTGGTCTGCTGAAAATCGGTTGAGGATGCGGCCGATGGGGTTGGCGTGGAAGAAGGCGAGCGGCGAGCCGAGCACGCAGGCGAGCATGGCGGAGTGGATGCGCGAGGCCGCGCGCACACACCACCGGAAGAAGAGGCCCGAGCGGACGAACGAGGTGACCACTCCGGTGAGGACTAGTGCAGTGTAGATGGGTCGGTATGGGCCGGATTGATCCTTCTTTTGGGACCAGAAGGCCAGGAACCTGAAGGGGGAGGGGGGGAGAGATTGGAAGATGGGGAAATGGGGTGTGGGGCGTGGAGGGGGGGTGAGGTGGGAGGAGAGAGGGATGGGGTGTGAGGCAACATGGGGTGTGGGGCATGGCGGAGTGGATGCGCGGGGCCGCGCGCACACACCACCGGAAGAAGAGCCCGGAGCGCACAAAGGAGGTCACCACGCTGGTGAGCACGAGCGCCGTTTAGATGGGTCGGTATGGGCCGGATTGGTCTTTCTTCTGGGACCAGAAGGCCAGGAACCTGTGGCGGAGCAGGGGGGATGGGGGGACAAGGGGATGGGGGGACGAGGGGATGGGGGGAAAAGGGGATGGGGGGACAAGGGGATGGGGGGACAAGGGGATGGGGGGACAAGGGGATGGGGGGACAAGGGGATGGGGGGACAAGGGGATGGGGGGACAAGGGGATGGCGGGACAAGGGGATGGGGGGACAAGGGGATGGGGGGACAAGGGGATGGGGGGACGAGGGGATGGGGGGACAAGGGGGGGATGGGGGGACAAGGGGATGGGGGGACGAGGGGATGGGGGGACAAGGGGATGGGGGGACAAGGGGATGGGGGGACAAGGGGATGGGGGGACAAGGGGATGGGGGGACGAGGGGATGGGGGGACAAGGGGATGGGGGGACAAGGGGATGGGGGGACAAGGGGATGGGGGGACGAGGGGATGGGGGGACAAGGGGATGGGGGGACGAGGGGATGGGGGGACAAGGGGATGGGGGGACAAGGGGATGGGGGGACAAGGGGATGGGGGGACGAGGGGATGGGGGGACAAGGGGATGGGGGGACGAGGGGATGGGGGGACAAGGGGATGGAAGATGGATTAACGGGGCGTGGGGCATGGGTTATGGAACGTCGGGCGTGAGGCATCGGGTGTGGGAGATGGGATGTTTGGGGAGGGAAGGAGATGGTGCCGGAAGGAGCATTCGAAAGGATAACTTTGGTGGGCATTGGGCATTCGAGAGAGAGGAGTGAATTTGAGACGTCTCAGAAACACTATTCTCTCACGGGACCATTAGAAAGGGTACATTTGATCGCCAATGGGCATTCGAGAGAGAGGAGTGGGCGTTTTCTAAGTGCCTCAAAAAGGGAAGGGAGGAGCGGGGAGTGGGGAGTGGGGAATGGGGATCGGGGAGTGGGGAGTGGGCGTGAGGAATTGGGAGTGGAGAGAGGCGAGCGGGGAGTGTGCGGAAGGAGAGGGAGAGGTACTGACCAGTCGCCCGCACACGCGAGGGTTTGACCAACAGCGAGGAGGAGCACGAGCAGCAGCGACTGCCACACTCCTACCCTCTTTGCATATCCCAGGTACACTCGCAGGCTCACCATGCCCTCCTCCTTCTTCTCCTTCTGTACCAGCCCTGCGAGAGAAAGAGAGAGTGAGGAGAGAAAGGTTTGTGAAGGAGGAATGGTGTGAAAGAGAGAATCTGGAAAGGGTGAGGTGAGCCTTGTGTGAATGAACGTCTTTTGAGACGTCTCAAAAGGGTGAGGTGAGCCTTGTGTGAATTAACGTACTCTGAGGGCGTGTCCAGCTCGTACGTTTTCGGTTCATATACAGTTCATCTACCGTGGTGCAAAACAATATCAACAGGTGCAAAGCGATTTTGAATTTTCACCTTTCGTTCACCGTGACACAAAGCGGTCAACCGCACAAAATGAACTGAAAACGTACGAGCTGGACACGCCCTGAGCCTGTTCCCCCTCTCTTCTCCCTTTTCCTCTCCCAAAGTTACCTCACACACACACAAACACTCCAATCACCAACAATTCCCCCACCCACACTCCCCACCATACACCCTCCTCAACAATCCCAACCAGCCCACCTTGTCCTGCGCCGTCCTCCTCCGTTCCCTCACCACCAACTTTCCCCCTCCCATCCCCTCCTTCCTCCCCCTCTCCATCCCCCTCCTCCCCCACATGCTCCTCCCCGCCCCCCTCCCGCGGCTGCCTGTGCACAAAACTCCCCATGATGCTGCGACTGCGGGACAGCTTTGCCCCTCCCACCCTGCTGCCACTGCGCCCTAGCGACCGGTCTCGCTGGGTCATACTGCGCAGCCGCCGCAGCAGCAGCGCCTGGAAGCTTGGATCATGCTGAGAGGAGGAAAGAGCAGAGGTGGATGCGGGGTGAGCGCTGTGCTGGCTGCCTCCTGCTGCTCCCGCTGCTGCTGGCGCTGCTGCAGCTGCTGCTGATTCCGGTGCTGCTGGTCGGGTTACAGCTGCAGCATTTGCAGTGGGGATGATATCTCCACCACTAGTGACTGGCGAGCTCCTGCTTTCGCCAGAAACGCCGTTCTTCTTTCTCCCACTTGGTCCTTTAACACTAACACCTTCAGTAGCATCACCACCAGTGTCCTCCTCATCACCGTCCTCTCCCACAGTGAACAAGCACTGATGCTGCAACCGCGCTCCACCCTCCCCCACTCCTCCATTCTCCCTGCCGTCCCCCACTTCCGCGCCACCAGCAGCTAGTAAATCGTCCTCTTCTCCCAACCCCTCTACCCCCCCCTCTCCCTCATCCCCCTCCCTTTCGTCCCCTCCCAGCAGCCCCTGAAAGTCCACCTGTGATGCCAAATCCGCATAGGGACCCAAGGCCACGGGTTTCCCACCGTCCAGCACTAGCACCCGGTCGCAACTGGGAGGGGAGAGGGGAAACGGAGGGAGGGAGAGAGAGGTGCGGTTGAGAGGGTTGGAGGAAGAGTAAAATGGGACGTACACGCGCGCACGCACGCACACACGCAGACTGGTAAATGATTCATCCACCACCCCTCACCTCCTGACAAACACGCCACCCACCCATCTCCTACACACATCCAACAATCCCCCAGACCCGCTCCCCCTCACCTGGGCAGGTACTGCAGCTGGTGTGTCACCACAATCCTCGGCCTTCCACTCATGACCCCCCGAATGCACTGCTCAAACAGGTGCCGCCCCACAGCCGGGTCCACTGCAGAGAGCGGATCGTCCAGCAATAAGAGAGCAGCATCAGCGGCGTACGCTGCCCGCGCCAGGCCCACCCGCGCCTTCTGCCCGCCGCTCAGGTTCACTCCCCGTTCGCCGATCTCTGTGAGGTCGCCCCGCGGCCAGTTGGCTATGTCCCGGCGCAGGGCGCATGCGTCCAGGACCTGGGAAGGCGTGGGGAAGGCAGGAAGGGAAAGGAGGGAGGGAAAGAGGGAGGGAGGGAGGGGAAGAAGGGGAGGAAAGGAGGGAGGGGAGGGAGGCAGGGAGGGAGGGAGGGAGGGAGGGAGGGAGGGAGGGAGGGAGGGAGGGAGGGAGGGAGGGAGGGGAGGGGAGGGGAGGGTAGGAGGGAACGGGAAAGGATGAGGAGAAACAGTCCTCAAAAGTAAATTTCAATGCATACCAGTCATGTCGACAATAATGACAACATGTGGACATTGAGATAATTTCTGGAAGCTAGAGATAAAGAAAAAGACTTGAAAGGATGAGTTGCCGTTGAGTGACAGGGCAGTGGTGTCACCTGGTTGTAGAGCTCTGCTTGGAATGGACGGCCGAAGATGATGTTGTCCTTCAGTGATCCGGCCATGACGAACGGCTGTGATGCGATGCATGCACCCATCGTGAGGGGACCCGGGGCAGCATACCCCACAGCAACACACCACACCACACCATACCACGCCACATCACACCACACCACACCACACCACACCACACTACGCCTCACCACATCACGCCGCACAGGACTCAAACAACAATAAGGCATGCAGAAGGTGAGAAATGCCTTCTCACTCGATCATAGAAACACCACCAAACGACACACACCACAGAACTGCAGCAGAGTGTTGTGCAACAAGGGATGATAGAGAGACATGCGGTGGGGCACACAAACACAAACATACGCTCACACATGTGATGCCCATGTGTGCATGCGATTGTCTCTTGCACGCGTTGATGCTCATCTGCTCCTCGGCTCATGCACTCATGCGTTGCTCATGCACTCATGCGTTGCTCATGCACTCGTGCGTTGCTCATGCACTCGTGCGTTGCTCATGCACTCGTGCGTTGCTCATGCACTCGTGCGTTGCTCATGCACTCGTGCATTGCTCATGCACTCGTGCGTTGCTCATGCACTCGTGCGTTGCTCATGCGCTCGTGTGTTCCATCCCACAATCTCACCTTCTGAGCAGCATACGCTATCTTCTCTGCCCGGCACACCAGCTCTCCCCCCATCAACTCAGCGTCTCCCAAAATGCCAGCCAGCAATGTGGACTTGCCTGCTCCCACCTGCGATAGGGGTTTAGGGAGGGGAGGGTCAAGGGGCAGGGGGCAGGGGGTGGGCAGGGGGCAGGGGGCAGGGGGCAGAGGGGAAGGGATGGAGGAGGCAGGGGGCAGGGGGAAGGGAACGGAGGTCGAAATTGGTGTGAGAAGAATGGAGAAAACACCCCGAGGGACAGAATGCAAAAGAATCAAGACGCATAGGAGACCGGAGTGACAGCAAGGCAAAGTTCCGTTCACTTCTGAGAGGCATTCGCCTTTCCTTGGGGTCGTTGTCCCCACCCACAACGACTAACGTCCCTCTCTCCCTCCCTCCCATACTCTCCTGCCTCAATCCCTCCTCCCTTCAGAGAAAATCCCTTCCCCAGGTCTCACCTTCCCTGTGACGCCCAGCAGTTCGCCCTCTCCCAGTCTGAAGCTCACACCCTCCACTGGCACCACCACCCCCTCCTCCTCTTCCTCTTCCTCCTGTTTCTGCTCCCGCACCCCTCCTCTCCCCTCCCCTCGATCCCTCACTCTTCCCTCCCTCGCCCTCCTCATCCACTTCCTCCTTTTTCGCCCCTCACCAGTGCTGCTGCCACTGCTGCTACCACCACCTCCATTGCCGCCGCCACCACCAGCAATACCATGACTGTTCATCTCCCCATTCGAATCCGAGTTACCATGCCCATTCACCTCTCCATTCACTGCTCCATTCGCCTCCCCATTCATCTCCCCATTCAACTCTCCATTCAACTCTCCTCCAGAACCACTGCCACCGCTACCATCCTTCCCCTGCCCCTTGGTCCCTGTCGCCTCCTCCCTCTCTCCAGCGCCCACCCTCCACCCAAAAGACGCGTTCACCATTGCACACACACTCTCCTGCCCTCCCCGCCCCTGCTCTGTCCCCTCACCAACAGCACCACCATCACCAGCAGCTACACCAGCAGCAGCAGGAGCAGCAGCAGCATCAGTGGCAGGAACAGAAGCAGCAGCAGCAGCAGCAGCAGCAGGAGGAGGAGTAGGAGCAGATTCTCTCCATGGATCCTGTTCCTGCTGCAACAGCTCCCCTACCGCTTCCTCTTCTCCCTCTCCCCCTCCAGTGCTCGTGTTCTTCTCATTAGGTGATGGCACTGGCGTTGCTCCTTCCCCTCTATTCGTGCTATTTGAAAGCTGATACAGACATAGCAGAAGGGAAGGTGAAGGGATGGAAGGATGACCACGAAGGACCAGGCCAGTATTGAAACCGGGTCATCAGGGCGAAAATGCCAAGTGGGGGGGAAATGGTGGGAAGAGAGATGCTAAGGTACGTGCACATGCTTCCATCTTTTCCATCCGCTTTCACCATACCTATACCCTTCCACTCATGCTCTCACAACCATGCATGTTTACCCATCCTTGTCACGCCCATGCAATGCACATCACACCCACAAATTTCCCATCCTTCCCTGCTCTCACTCACCCGCATGAATGCCTCGAGCCGTGAGAAACTGACAGCCGCCTCTGCCACTCGCTCTATGCCCGCTGGAAAGAACACACACATCCACAGGCGCGGCAGCTGGGGAAGGGAGGGTGGGGGGATGGGGACGTGGATGGAGAGGGGAAGGAAGATAGCCCGTTGTTGAGACGCCTAAAAAATCCCCCTCCCCCCTTTTTGAAAATCTTAAGAGTGACCCAACGCTTCTGCACGAGAAAGATGAGGTGGAGGGTAATCACTTCTGAGAATTCTCAAAAGTGATTTCAAAAAAGATGAGGTGGAGGGTGTGGATGGCTGCAGGTGCGAGTCAGCAGCTCCCTTCAGGTGACTTTTGAGCCGACTCAAAAGTCTCTTCAAGAAAGATGAGGTGGAGGGTGTGGATGGCTGCAGGTGCGAGTCAGCAGCTCCCTTCAGGTGACTTTTGAGCCGACTCAAAAGTCTCTTCAAGAAAGATGAGGTGGAGGGTGTGGATGGCTGCAGGTGCGAGTCAGCAGCTCCCTTCAGGTGACTTTTGAGCCGACTCAAAAGTCTCTTCAAGAAAGATGAGGTGGAGGGTGTGGATGGCTGCAGGTGCGAGTCAGCAGCTCCCTTGAGGCCCTGCGAATGGCCACCATCTTTATAGGCGGCCATAAGTTCTGGAAAAATAGGGGGGGATGGGGGCAAGCTGAGCGCACCTGCACGAGGGAGATGACGTAGAAGACCGTGGAGGGCTGCAGGTATCCTCCCTGCAGCGTGTACGTGGCGAAGATGACTAGTGACACCATGGAGGAGGAGGCGAAGTAGGACGCCTCGTTGAACGCCTTGATGTATGACGCCAGCTCGATGCTGGGGTGGGGTGAGTAGGAGGTGGGAAGGGTTGGGATGAGGGGGCGTTTGAGTGAGCCTGAAGGGGGCTGAAGCGAAGTCGGACGCCTCGTTGCATGCACGGATGGACGATGCCAGCTCGATGCTGGGGTTTTGAAAAGGGGTGCGGTGTGGGGAGGGTGGGAGGAGGGGAAGGAGGATGAGTGAATGTTTAAGTTGCGACAGATGAGGAGGACGCGAAGTAGGGTGGAAAGGAGGAAGGGGTGCGGGGGGAGGAAGGGGGACGAGGGTGGGAGGCGGGATGATGCAAGCTTGATATTGGCGTTGGTGGCCAGGAGTCATCGGTGGTAGAAGGGTGCGTCTTGTTTTTTGAGAGCTCTTTTATTTTTTAGAATTATCCTATTTTTTAGAATTCTCAAAAAACAGAGGCGACCAGGAGTAATCGGTGGTAGAAGGGTGAGAGGGACGAGGAAGGGAAGGGTGGGGGAGGGGAAGGGTGAGCGCGACAAGAGGGGGATGAAAAGAGGAGAGGATGTGTAGGGGACGGATGAGGAGAAGGGGGAGGGTAGGGGGAGGGGGAAGTGAGGAGGGGAAGAGGGGGGGGGGGGGCGAGAGAAGGAGGACGAGGATAACAGGAGGATGAGGACAAGCGTTTCTGTTGTCAGCAGAAATGATTGTAAGGTCGGAAGGATCGCCAACAGAAAGGCAGCACAGTAATAATCCAGCTACTTAACTCCCTGCCCTCTCCCCGCCCTCTCCCTGCCTGCACACTCTTACTTTCTGCGCTCTTTGTTGCGGATCCTCTGAATGAAGCTCGTGAAGGGCGCCTCCCAGGCGAACATCTTCACTGCCAGAATGCCAGATAGCACCTGCAGGGAGGGGGAGCAGAGATGAGTGTGGTGTGAGCGCGGGGATGGGAGTGGGTGTGGGCATGGCAGGGGCAAGAAGGGAGGAGGATGGGAGAGGGGCGGAGTTTAGGTTCTCCCAGGCGAACATCTTCACTGCCAGAATGCCAGATAGCACCCACCTGCAGAGAGGGGGGCCAAGAAATGGGCATGGGAATGGGCGTGCACGTGCGCATGCACGACAAGCGCGCCAACTGGAAAGACTTTTGAGTCGACTCAAAAGTCAATGGGTGTGAGCGTGCGCATGCACATGCACGATAAGCATGTCAATTGAGGAGGGGGCACAGCACAGAGACGCCAGGGTCGAACAGGCATCATGCTTTGCGGGTCTGACACTCGGCTAGGATAGGCGACTGGTTCCTTGGTGGTCGTATGAATGAAGATGTGGAGTGACTAACATACTTGCATGCCATGCCACTGCTTGCATCAACTCCGCTCCTCTCCCCCACCCACACCCTTTTTCCCCTACAGAGGACATGCACAGCATTCCCCGCCTCTCATCTCCCATTCCCTCGCCTCCCCTCACCTTCAGGACACCTCGCCGGACAGCTTCACCCGTGCATCTGTGAAGTCACTTTGCTGCGCCCTCCCAAACCTTACCCCACACACACCACCCCCAATCCTTTCCAAATTCCACCCCACCACCCCCTAGCACAGCACACAAAGCACACACCTCGCCTGTCATCTACCCGGGCTTCTGTCAACTCTACTGTCCTGCAATGCTGCTTGGCAACTCTTTCAACCCCACCACCCTCAGCACTGCACGCCTCGCGCGCATCTGTCAACTCCACTGTCCTGCGCCGCTGCTGGCCTGGGAAGACCTGCCCTAACACTCCCATTTCCCCACCCCCACCCCAAACCAACCTCACCCCACCCCACCCCACCACAGCCACCACAACACACCTCGCCTGTCATCTTCACCCGGGCGTCTGTGAACTCCACGGTCCTGCGCCGCTGCTTGGCAAAGAAATGCCCGAACAGAGCCTGAACGGAGGGGGCAAGTGGCACGATGGGTGAGGGGAGAGGGGTGAGAAGTGAAAGAGAAAACAGGTGATTGGAACGGAACCCAACCTCTGTTGCACCGCTGCTTGGCAAAGAAGTGCCCAAACAGAGCCTGAACGGAACAGTGAGGGGAGGCAAGGGAGTGGGGAAGAAAAGCGCGAGGAGATGGGTGAGGAGAGGAAAGTGAGAGGTGAGAAGGGTGAGGTAGGAAAAGGCTGAGGGGAAGAAAAGCTAAGGGGGAGAGGGGTGGGTGGGGGAGAAGGGAAGGGGGAGAACAGGAGCAAGGAGAGCAGCAATGACAGCAGACACATGACTGAAACAGCCTCTCCCCATATCTCCCCCTCCTCCACCCACCCCATCCCCCCAAAACCCTCAGGAAACTCAACCCCCAGCACATGCCCACCCAGCATAACATCTCCAACTCGAACCGAAGCCCCGTGCACCAGGATTTAGCACCTAATCACCGCATTCTCACCTGCAGGGGAATGAGGGCGAGGAGGGCTGCTATGCCAGCAAACGCAGGCTGGGCACCCACTTCGAGAACTATGAGCGCCGTCACCACCACCAGCTCGAGAGGGGCCTGGGGAAGTGGGAATCAGGGGAGGAAAATGTGAGAAGTGGGGAGGGAGGGAAGGGAGGGAGGTTCGGGTGGACTCAAAACATTTGCATTGCAGGCTGGCTCCCACTAGGAGCACTATGAGCGTTGTCACCACTACCAGCTCCAGAGGGGCCTGGGGGGATGGGGATGGGAGAAGGGAGCGCGAGGAGTGGGGTGGGAGGTGGGAAGGAAGGAAAGGAGCTTCCAAGCAAACGCAGGCTGGGCACCCACTTGGAGGACTATGAGCGCCGTCACCAGTACCAGCTCCAGGGGGACCTGTGGGGATGGGGATGGGATGCGGTGGGAGTGGCAGCAGCACAATGAGCAAAGCTGCCTTGCCACCAGTGCCAGCTTCCAAGGGAAACCTTTTCCACGATGGGAGGGGAAGCTTTGAGTACAAGCGAGAAAGAGCAAGTGGAGCAGAAAGAAGAGCAGCCCAAAAGAGGAACACTTATAGCCCAGAGGAACACTTATAGCCCAGAGGAACACTTATAGCCCAGAGGAACACTTATAGCCCAGAGGAACACTTATAGCCCAGAGGAACACTTATAGCCCAGAGGAACACTTATAGCCCAGAGGAACGAGACGAACATGGGGAGCTTGTCGAAGCGTCACACGAGAAAGAAGCAAGGGCAACCAGAGAGGCAGCAGCAGCAGCCGCAGGGGAAGGAGGGGAAGGCAGCAGAGAAACACTCACCGCCCATAGAAACTGGGCGAACATGGGGAGCTCGTCGAAGCGGCGTACGTCATTGGACATGAGTGTGATGCAGTGGCCCGTGGTGATGCGCGTCAGTGCACCCCCGTTGAGAGATAGCAGCTTGCTGTTGACTGGCAAGGGAGGGGCGTGAGATGGTGAGTGAGATGATGTGTATCAAGTCAGATATATGAGAGTGAGCGTGAGGGCATGAGGGCAGTGAATAAGAGTGAAAGGTCAAGAGTGCAAGGTCAAGAGTGAAAGGTCAAGGGTGCAAGGTCAAGAGTGAAAGGTCAAGAGTGAAAGGTCTTCCCTAGGGCCGTGTGAAGAGATTTAAGCCTAGGGCAGGTGAACAGAAATACCGGAACATCCAAGTGGATGCGCGCACACAGCGTGAGGTGCGTCTATTGGCGTGCTCAATCAACGCATGCATAGCTCAGCTGAGCGTGAGCGACACTTATGACCACTCACCGAGCGTCATGGACGCCCGTCACAGCTTCCACCCTACAATCTGCATGCAAAAGGTTCCAGATCTTACAGTGGAGCAGCAATAAAATCATTGTGCAACCGCCTTCTATGCAGCACTGCACACCCCAACCCACCCCCGCCCTTCCCTCAAACCTCTTCACATACGGACAGACACAACAAGCACACTCACTGAGTGTCATGGACTGGACGCGACTCGCAGATTCCACCCTACGATCTGCGAGAGGTTCCAGATCTGATGGTGCAGCAGCACGAGAAGCCCAGCGCCAGCAGGAAGCTCCATGCGCCACTTACTATGCATGCAGCACAGCCAACCCCACCCGCCCTTCCCCCCCACTCACTGAGCGTCATGGAAGCAACTCGCAGGTTCCATCCAACGATCTGCGAGAGGTTCCAGATTTGATGGTGCAGCAGCGCAAAGCCCAGCGCCAGTAGCCCCATCAGCACCGCCAGCAGGTACCCTCGCCACGCCGGGTCGCTTGTTTCCGAGTCCTGCGCGTCTTGCAAGAAGCGAACCTGGGGAGATGAGGAGGAGGGAGGAAGGGGAGAGGGGAGGGCAGAAACAATGTTTTTGGGGCATTTCAGAGATACACGCTGAGCAGAGCAGCTCGTCTCGGCTGTAAGAAACAAACCAGGCGGGCGGGATGAGAAGAGGCCAACCGAATCGATTTCTCTTCTGCCACCATCCTTCACTCTCTCCAGCACTCTTCCCCCTTCCGCCCACAGCCCACCGTCCCTCCAAACAGGTATGAGCTTATCATTAAGCACAAACGACCCCAATCCTATCACCATCATCACCTCTCCTCGTCCCTCTACTCCGCTCCCTATCCTCCCTTCCCCATCTCCCCTCACTGTTCTTTTTCCCCCACAGCCCCCAAGCGACCCTCTCACCAATTGGCGCAGCAGGAAGGCAGAGAGGATGCGCTGGGCGGACTCCGCCACTATCAGCACCGCTACCAGCGTCAACCGCCACCGGAACGGCCACATAATCACCGCCCAGTACCGCCCCGCCCATCCCCCTCCCCTTCCTCTTCCCCCTCCCCCGCCCTTTCCTTTCCCCGCGCCCGTTTCTCCCCTCTGCTGCTGCCCGGGGGACGGGTTGCGCTTTGCCCAGAGCGCGCTGAGCTTCACCCCCAGGTGCTGCGCGGAGAAGGCGGAAGGCAGGGGGTAGAGGTCGCTGGGGCCTAGCACCTGGCGCACGCCTTGCGCCATGAGGGGGGAGAGCTGGGGGGAAGAGGAGGGAGGGGTGGGGGGGAGAGGAGAAAGGGGGAGGGGGGGGGGGAGAGGCGCGGGGGAGGATGGGAGTGAGTAGAAGGGGAGTGAGTGAAGGAAAGGGGTTTGGATAGAAGGGATGGCAGAAGATCTAAGGGGACCGATAAGAGGTGGCGGAGAGGAGGAGGAGGAGGAGGAGGAGGAGGAGGAGGAGGAGGAGGAGGAGGAGGAGGAGGAGGAGGAGGAGGAGGAGGAGGAGGAGGAGGAGGAGGAGGAAGAGGAGGAGGAGGGGAGGGAGGAGAGGATGGAGGGATTTGGAGAGGGAGGGACGAGAGGAAGGAGGGAGGAGGGCGTGCAGACCGGTGAATAAACCGTTGGAATTATTGATCGATTAAGAAAAAACAGGGAAAGAGTGTCTGCGGTCGCGGCTCAGTGGGGTGGGGAGTGCAAGAAAGAGCAGGTCAGAGGAAAGGCTCGGGAAAAAAAGCGGGATGTGTAGGGTTGGAGAGCGGGAGGGGGAAGGGGAAGGAGGGGAGAGGGGGGGGGAGGGGAGTGGGGGGATGGAGGAGGGGGGTTGGAAGGGGGGATGTTTTGCCGGAAAAGAGGAGTTGGAGGGGGAGATTATTCATCGAGATTACCCATGAGAAGGTGAGTATGGAGTAGACGCTCAGGGGCGGATCCGCTATCCCCTCTTCCTCCTCGAGCAGATCCAGCGCCGCCATGTCTCCCATGTCTCCCCTCATATTAGTACCGCCCGTCGGGCCGCTCATACTATCGCCACGCTCATCATCGTCACTCTTGTTACCAACACTCGTGCTATCGCCATTAATAACTCCTGCGTCTGCTCCGTTCGCCAACATCAATTCCCGCGCCTCGATCTCCTCCGCACCCTCTCCGCCACCCGCAACCGCCATGCGCGGGGGAGTGGGGGAGCGGACAGGCTCCGCATGGGGATGCTCCGCCAACCCTTGCTCGGATAAGCTTGCCTCGGGTAAATTTGTCTCGGATAAATTTATCGCCGGCGGATTCGCCATCGCTGGTGGATTCGACTCCAACGGGTCCGGGTGAAAAGAGCTTGCCTCGAATTCAATGAATTCGGCTTCACCTGACGACGGCCCTGCATCGGCCAGGCGAAAGGCTGCGGGATAGAGATCTGAAAAGACTACGCAACGATTCACCACAACGGGTTCACCACAACGGGTTTACCACGACGAGTTTACTGCAACGGGTTCACCAGAACGGGTTTACCGCAACGGGTTTACCGCAACGGGTTTACCGCAACGGGTTCACCAGAACGGGTTTACCGCAACGGGTTTACCGCAGAGGCCACAGAACCAACCGGATTGAATAGCACGAGCACGAATCACGAAGTCAGGCGCTGGTAACCGCGCGAGCTACACGCATCGACCACGAGAGATTATCCGCCAGTCATCTCGCACTGAGACGCTCTCAGAAGTGCAATTCAAGTGTTCTTTAGTAGTGAGGCGCGAAAGCATCGCCGTAGTTCCACCTTCTGGTGATGGAGGCAGTGAGAATATAGAATATGATGATGATCACCTGATACACTGCTGAAATGGTTAACTTGCCCGTGTACACGACAGAAAGATTGTCCTTGCAACAGACACACAACTCGCTGAAACTTGCTGAACCCTGCTGAACCGCAATACAATGACGGCAAGCCTCAGCAGATACCCCGGGTGTAAGTAGATCGTCACTCACCTTCCAGAGCATTCAGAGGCGGACATGGTAACCCAGGAAAACACCGACTAAAATTGCATGGGTCGGGTGACTAGTACAGTACGCTGACCCTCTGTACACAACCCAACAAAGCGGAGCGCCCGACGCAACCAATCAGGCGCGAGAATAATCAGTAGGTGGTGGAGGTGATGGCTTCCGCGCCTTCTCCAGGTATCTCCCCCAAATTCCTCTCCGCGCACCTGTTCGCGCCCGCGCCGCTGAAACCAACCTCCCGTTGCCAAGAGGAGAAGGGGGAAGGAAACCGCACCAGCCTTCCTCGCGCGCGGCCCTAGAAGCGTTGAGGGGCTGAAAGCGTGAGGGGTCGTGGGCGAAGAAGTACGCAACACGTGGTTTATGTTGAGAGGTTGCCGAAACATGCTTGGTGGAAGTTGAGGTTGACGTCAGCCCAGTGGTTTCTTCGAACAATTCGAAGGAACCTTCCCCAACAGATCAGCCAGACACGCCCCACCAAGCCACGCCCTCGGGTCGTTCGCGCTACAGGCAGCGTAAAGACCTCGACTCTACAAATATCGTGTGTGTGATCTTTTGTTACGGGTGCAATGAATCTAGGTAGCTAGGATAGCACTAGGTGTAAAACGAGTACAAAATGTGAGCGAAGGCATGATCGAACATTTATTCGCGAAACATGCAAACGGTAACGCGGTGCATGCGAGCTAGCTAGTGCTATGCTGGCAGCGAGGTTCGGGCTAGTCCCGAAGCGTAGGCCGACACGGCCGGCCCAGCAGTGCGAGGTTTGGTGAAACAGTGCGCGCGAAGTCAGCGAAGCCCCGTTAGCAGTAACGGGCGAACAACGCCTGCTGCTGTACGCGATGTTGGAGGGCGCGCTAAGGAATGTCGAGAAAATTCCTTACACTATCCCCCCCCCCCCCTCCCCCCCTCCCCCCCCCCCCTCAAGAAGCCCCCTCCGCTACGCGAGTGCGTATATATCGCGGAAACCTCGGCTCCTCAGGTACACTTGCAGGGCAGGGTGGTTTTCGATGTTGGCCAGGGGCACCCAGCTATCTTCCGTTAGTGTGCGGTCCTTCCAGCGAACGAGGGATTCAATCCTTCTTATTTCCGTGGGGTGTCGAATCCGATGGCTCAGGATTTTTTCGGGCTCGATGATCGGCTCCGATGCAGGGCGAGTCATGGATGGCGGGCGGTGACGAGGCAGTTGGCTTGTGGTTGGGATGTAGGGGCGAAGCAGGCTGACGTGGAATGAAGGGCTGATGTACCAGTCTGTCGACAACAATAAATGTGCTGTCACTAGGGTAATCATGTGGCTGATTTGGAATGGTCCACAGTAACGCGGTCGTAATTATGTGAATGAACGAGAATGAATGCACTATGAAAGAGTTGGGTACAAGTACTAACCCTAATTGGGTTGTACCCCATATAGGCTACCCCACTACAGCCTACACAAAAGCATAAGCTCTAATGTTCTGACACACCCCCATAGGCAAAGTGGGGGAGTACAAAGGGTCACAAGACCAGTCAAGCAAAGTAAAACAAAGCAAGCTCAGGGTGGATCACAAAGTCACCACACATTCCGAGCACAAGGTCAAGGCCACAAGGCCAGTTCACATGCAGGAGTACATATATATATAAAAGGCTAGACAAGCAAGAGCAGGTGTATATATATATGTAACAGTACAAGCAAGGTCAAGAGGTGAGCAAGTGAGGCAAGGCAGGCACAAGACCCAGCTGAGTACAGAAGCGCTGATGATCACAAGGCGCACGCGCCTTGGTGAAGATATCACCAGTGTTAGCCTCAGAGGCCACGTACGCAAGATGCAGCTGACCACGTTGCTGCAGCTCACGAGCAAGGAAGTAGCGGAGAGCAATGTGCTTCGTTCTGTGCTCCAGTCTCTGCTCTCGACACAAGGCCAGCATGGCCTTGTTGTCTACGTACAGCACTGGAGGAGAACGAGGCGGCTCTCCGAGGTCAGTCAGCAAGTAGGTGAGCCAGCGAAGCTCCTGTGCAGCCATGGCCCCGACGTAGATCTCAGCCTCACAACTCAAGCCGAGAACAGAAGACGAGCGGGTAGCCCGCCACGAAACAGAGCTGGAACCAACGCTGAAGGTGTAACCCTGTGACGACCGCTGCGTAGCCTAGTCGTCAACCCAAGAAGCGTGTGCGTGCCCAGTGAGGACCACTGGACTCTGCCCTCCAAGCACAAGCCCCATGCCTGACGTACTACACAAGTAGCGCAACACTCTCTTCGCTGCAGCCATGTGCTACGGTCTGTGTCTCCCAGGAGCAACATAGCGTGCGAGAATGCTAAGAGGGTATGCAAGGTCAGGTCGAGTGCAGGTCATCAGGTACATGAGGCAGCCAACAAGCTCTGGGTACGGGCCACTCGACTCTACGGACTCATCCGAAGGCAGAGCTGAGAGCGAGTGACGAGTAGGCAGAGGAGTGGCCTGAGGCGAGGAGTACGTGAAGCCGAAGCGCTGAAGGACCAGCTGCACCATGTATGACTGAGTCAGGGTAATGGTGTTGCGTGCTCTGTCCCGGGTGATCTGCAAGCCAAGGTAGTTGCGCAGTTCACCCAGGTCTGTGCACGTGTGTCTCTCCTGCAGCTCGGACTTCACGTGGGCGAGTCCAGCAGTGTCAGCTGTGGCAAAGACCAAGTCCTCGACGTACACGAGGATGTAGAACGGCGGCAAAGAAGTGTCAGTGCGCAGAAACAGCGACGGGTCGACAGTAGAGGGAGCAAACCCAAAAGCCGCAAGTGTAGTCCTCAATGTGACGTGCCACTCACGCGGTGCCTGGCGGAGACCGTAGACTGGCCACCGGAGGCTCCACTGGGTGCCAGGAGGAAAAGACTCAGTGAAGCCAGGTGGGCGGCGCAACCAGATCTCCTCGTGCAGGCTGCCCTGCAGGAAAGCTGTGCTGAAGTCAAGAGAGTTAAGCTCGTAGTCACGGTGAGCAGCTATGTGCAGCAGTATCCGAAGAGTGGTCATCTTCGGGGTGGGAGAGAAGGTCTGAAAGTAGTCAACTCCTTGCCGCTGAGTGAAGCCACGAGCCACGTAACGCGCCTTGAAGACAGGCGGAGAACCCGGCGGCCGCTTCACCCTGAAAATCCACATGCCACTGACGATGTTCGCCCCAGGTGGGGGAACCTCTTCAACGTAGGTGCCTGTGGACTTCCAAGAAGCCATCTCTGCGTCCATAGCTGCCTGCCACTAAGAGGAGTAGGGACCCTCTATCGCCTCCGCGTAAGAGCACGGAGTTGGGATGTCAAGTGCATCCGGGTCTCCCTCAGGGGTAAGCAGTATGGACACGAGATGAGGTGAAGCAGCAGCCAGACACTGGAACTCCTCCTGCCTGTCCTCAAGGACGTCCGTGCCAAGGGCACACCCACACCCGACTGACGGAGGACAGACAGACTCAGACTCAGCAACAAGACTGGCGGGGTAGTCTAGGCGACAGCGAGCAGCTAAGTCGACGAGCTCAGCAACTAGGGCAGACGCAGCAGTGGACTCAAAGGAAGGGTCAGTGACAACAGTAGTAAGGAGACGCGTGACAGTAGGACTAGCAGCACGAAGAGAGTCCGACTCCAGGTCGGCAAGAGCAGGAAGAGAAACCTCAGGAGGAGAAGGCAAAGGGGCACGCAGAGGAGCAGTGGACGGACGTAGAGACATCCGGTGCGTGCCAGGGACAGGAGGAGGACGCTGACGCGAACCACGACCACTAGTGCGAGCAGCTCGGACAGGCGACGCAGGGCGAGACGCAGGCTCACGATGCTCGGCAAGACCTCCTGTAGGACCAGTGTAGGGAGACGGAGCATGCAGTGGGGAGGCCGGCTGTAACTGTAACTGTGACGGGACGGGCTGTGGACACTCGAAGGGAGGAGGAGGACTAGTAGAAGGCGGGAGACCAAGAACCTGCGGAAGGAGCGGAACGAAGTACGACCGAGGCCGCGCGGCGACTCCAGACACAGCAGGGACAGCACCAGTACCCCCAGCGGCAGCACCAGCACCTGCAGCACCTCCAGCTCCAGTAGCACCCCCAGCAGGACCGCCTCCAGGACCGACAGCAGTAGCCTTCGCGCCAACACCCGCAGCAGCTCCAACTCCAGAAGTACCCGCAGGCCCAGCAGCTCCAGTACTCCCAGTACGAGCACCTTCGGGACCCGCGGCACCAGCACCCTCAGCAGCAGCAGAACCTCCA